ATGACTGAGAGGGGACCTGGTTAAGATGATTCAGGTTGTGAGGGGCATGGACAGGGTGGATAAAAAGTTGCTGTTCCCTTTAGTTGAAGAGTCAATAACTAGGCGGTGTAATTTAGGGTGAAAGGCAGGAGGTTTGGAGAGGATTTGAAGAAAATGTTTTTCACCCAGAGGGTGATGCGAGTCTGGAATGTGCTTCTTAGGAGTATAGTTGAGGCAGGAAACCTCACAACCTCTAAAAAGTACTTGGATGTGCACTTGAAATGTCATAGCATTCAAGGCAATGGGCCAAATGCTGGAAAGTGGGACTAGTGTGGATTTAGAGTAGTTTTGTCGGTGCACACTTGATGAGCTGAAGGGCATCTTCTGTCGTCTATGATTCTGTGATTCTATGAAAATACCTATTGGTTCATCCAGCCCCTCTCAGACAGCTGCAGTGCCTTGAGCACTGTGGCTCAGTTCTTAGCACTGCTGCCTCACAGTGCCAGGGACCTGGGTTCAGTTCCAGCCTCGGGTGACTGACTGTCTCTGTGGAGTTTGCACATTTTCCCCGTGTCTGCGTGGGTTTCCTCTGGGTGCTCCGGTTTCCTCCCACAGTCCAAAGATGTGCAGATTAGGTGGATTGGCCATGCTGAATTATCCATAGTGTCTAGGGTAGGGTGTGGGTCTGGGTGGGATGTTCTTTGGAGGGTCAGTGTGGACTCGATGGGCCAAATGGCCTGCTTCCACACTGTAAGGATTCAAACTGGAACCATCAAACTGGAACAGTACAGCACAAGAACAGGCCCTTTGGCCCTTTTGCTAACATTATGCCATTCTAAACTAATCCCATCTACCTGCACATGTCCATATCCCACCATTCCCTGCCTGTTCATGTGTTTGTCTCAATGCCTCTTAAACAATGGTATCATGTCTACTTCTACCACTTCCCCTGGCAGTGCATTACAGGCACTTACTAACCTCGCTGTAAAAAAAATTACCTTGCATATCTCCTTTAAACCTTTCCCCTCTCAAACCTATGTCCCCTATAATTTGACATTTCCTGACTATCCACCTTATCTAGACCTCTCACAATTTTATATACTTCTATCAGGTCACCCCTCAGCCTCCAATGCTTGAGAAAAAACAAATCTTGTCCAACTTCTCATTAGAGCTAATACATTCCAATCTAGGCAACATCCTGGTAAACCTCCTTTGCACCCTCTCCAAAGCCTCCACATCCTTTAGCGTGGTGCCCGGAACTGCTCACAATACTTCCAAATGTGGTCTACGTAGTTTTATACAGCTGCAACATGACTTGCAAACTTTTTTACTCAGTGCCCCAATCAATGAAGGCAAGCATGCCATATGCCTTCTTTATCATCTTATCCACTTGTGCTGCCACTTTCAGGGAGCTATGGACTATGCGCCCCAAGATCCCTCTGTATATCAATGCCCCTGAGGGTTCTACCTTTTACTGTATACTTTGCTCTTGCGTTTATCCTACCAGATTAAACATCTTCTGCTATTTCTTTGCCCAACCTTCCAACTGATCTGTATCTTGCTGTATCCGATGACAACCTTTCTCACTATCCACAAGTCTACTTGTTTGTTGTCTGCAAACTTGCTAATCAGACCTCCTACATTTTCATTCAAATAGTTTATATAAATTACAAACAACAGAGGTCCCAGCACTGATCCTTGCAGAACACAGCTGGTCACAGACCTCCAGGCAGAAAGACACCCCTCCACAACTACCGTCTGTCTTATATGACCAAGCAAATTTTGTACCCAACTTAGCATTCAGTTTGGATCCCACGGGACTTAGTCTCTCAACCAGCCTACCATGAAAGACTTTGTCAGCAGTGGTGTAAATTAGCCTCACTCATGATATCTTTATCAAGGTATCTTCCACTCTGTTCTCACCATAGACTCATTGGTGCCTGTGATGTTTTTAAAATACCCTTGTCACATGCAAGCTGTCATCATTTTTATTCTTTTGTAGAAATGTGGATGTCATTGGTTAGGCCAACATTGGTTACACATCAATAATTGCCTATGAGAAGATGGTGGTTAACCCATCAGCGTGAACCACTACCATCCATGTGATGTAGATAGACACCCATGTACTGTTAGGAAGGAAATTACAGGATTTGGTCTCATGACGGTGTAGAATGATACAGTTCTGAGTCAGGGCGGTGAGTGGCTTGGAGGGAACTTGCAGATAATGATGTTCCTCCCATGCATCTGCTCTCCTGGCCGTTATAGATCGTACAGACTGTGTGTTTAGAATGTGCTGCCAAAGGAACCTTGGTGAGTTGCTGCAATGCATTATGTAAATGCTGGCATTGGTGTTGGAGAGAGTGAATGTTGAAGGTAGTGGATGTGGTGTGAGTCAAACAGGCTGCTTTGTCCTGGATGGTGTTGAGTGTCTTGTGTTTTACGGGAGCTGCTCTCATTGTGGCAAGTGAGGAGTAGTCCATCCCACCCCTGACCTCAGCTTGTCGATTGTGGATAGGCTTTGGGAAGTCCCATGGAAGCTGACAACTTATTTTCTTTATTCCTTCATGGGGTGTGGGCGTCTATGGCAAGGACAGCATCTATTATCCATCCCGAGTCTCTCCTTCAACAGAGTGGCTTGCCCTTTTGGGGATGGGGTGGGGTTAAGAGTCAACCCAAGGCTGTGGGCCTGGTGTCACATGTAGGCCCCGCACAGATGAAACATTAAAGTTCAAGGCTGGGGTGGACCTCCCTTTATTTGTTGTAAATTTGAGCCCTCATTTTGTGGATTGCAATGTTCAAACTATAAATCATGCCTTTTTCAGGATTGTGCTTGTTTCCTTTCCTCTGCAAGTGGATTATTCTATTTTCTGACCAGATTAAATCTCTTCTTCTTGATGTGTAACCTTTGAATATCTTCTGTTAAATCAATTCAGGCCAACGAGGGGCCTGTATGGAGCTATCGTGTTGCCACATCTACAGCCCAGGTTTCAAGCGGAAAATCTCCCAAGGAGAAAACACTACAGTGACGAGAAGGGGGAGGGGTGACGAAGATGGTGGTGGTGATGTGAAGGATATGAAATGGTGTGGAAAGAATCTTGAAGATGCAGGGCTCAGCTCATCAGCAATGGGCAATCCAGAAAGAAAATCTACACCTAATTTAAAGTTTGCTATTTTATGACCTGCGTCGTTTTAAATCTATAATGCCTACATCTATATTTCCTTTCCTTAACCTTTAATTGCCAAACGTTTAACATTTTATTCTTCCTAATTCTGACATTAATATGACCTTTAATTCAAAAGCATAAAATTGGTTTATCTGTACCAATCTGTCACATTAATGAGAATTACGAAGCTTGGCTTTAAGTCTTGGCTAATTTTTAAGCATGCAGCAAATATGGAACATCGTAACAGGAGTGTTACAATATTCCAAACTGCTCGGGTAGGAAATAAACTGATTGCCTTGAGTATTTTGGGGCTAGCAGTTCAATGATGCTGCGCTGTTTTGCCATCTTAAAATAGGCACCAAAATGTACAATTTGGCAAGTCAGATTCACTGTCTGCCCAGATCACCCCTATTCCTACTGTTCACTTATCTCCCTCTGTCTGTGCTCACACAGTCCCAGTCACTCAATCCCTCACACACAAAATGCTGAAAAGCCATTGTTGATGGTGCTGTGGGCTGAAATTCAAACCAGCCTTGTCGACTTGTTGCTTCAGGACGCTGTGAGGTCTCTATAGTTCACCAATCTGATGTAACCTGGGCCCAAGACCAATATTGCATAAGCCTAAGCCTCCTGTTGTAACAGAGGACTCTTCCTTGCGCCCAGTTTGCACCGACAGGCTGGTGCTAAGCCATTTCTCATCCGTAAGTAACTACCCACCCTGTCATCACAGCTAAAATCTACTGGCTGAATTCCTAAGTAACAAATTACTTGATGTATGATAAGGGGGATATAGGGTGGAAGGAAGACTGAAACGCTAAATTAATGAAACTGAAAAGGTATATGAGTGGAGAGTGAAGCCAGTTTCTCTTGTACAGAAAGTGAAAGCTACAGTAAAGTGAGTGAGAAGAAGTAATGCAAGTAAAAGAGAAATCAAATTAGGATTTTTAGTTCAGCTGTAATAGCTTTCAGAAAACACAATTGAACGAGTGAGATATGTGATGTTGGAAATGCGCTAATCTGCCATAACAGAATTGTGATCTATACATGCTAACTTTCAAACAATCCAGGTTAATGAATTTTTAATTCTACATTAATAAATGTTTAATTTAAATCAAATTTAGCTGTGAGGAGAATTACTGCATAGCATGACTTCCAGCAGACACAAGTTGCATTTGCACAGTGGCAAGGAAGTCTTGAAACTTAAAGCAAATAGGATTTATAGCATCGGCCCAACAAGTCCACACTGACCCTCAGAGCATCCCACCCAGACCCATCCCCTTTAACCCACCTAATCTAGGCATCCCCGAACACTACGGGCAATTTCCCATGGCCAATCCACCTAGTCTGCACATTCTTTGGACTGTGGGAGGAAACTCACGCAAACACAGGTAGAATGCGCAAACTCCACACAGACAGTCGCCCGAGGGTGGAATCGAACCCGGGTCCCTGGTGCTGCGATCCAGCAGTGCTAACTACTGAGCCACTGTGCCGCCCTATCAAAGAGCAGGTTTTCCACTCCATTTTCAGGGACGTCTATCCCTCCCGTCTGCCATGAGGGGATGCCCAAAATCTAACCTGTTGACACCTATCCTATGAGATATTATGACTTTGGACAACACTTTGAATCCACCTCCCAATGAATGAACCTACGTCGAGCTCCTTTTCGGTTCCACACAAGAGTCACATTAAGCTTCAAATGCGACACCCTTTCCCTTTTCACAGATACTGAGTTTCCCCAACACTTACCATTTTTTAATCCTGATCAACAGTGCATACGGCAGCTTGTAAAATTACCCCTTGTGTCATTGGGCCTTGAACCTCATTTCGGTTCCTTTTTGTAATTACCACTCCCTTTAGGCAGTCAAGAGGAGAGGATGGCACTGGACACAGCAATCCAACATGGTGTGAAGAAGGAACAAGCTGTAACCGATGTGACAATGGATGTATCTTTAGATATGCATGTTCCTGAGAATGTTCTCCTAGGTACCAACTTCATTGTGGATGTAGAGCTCCAAAACAACAGCAACGAAAAACGTAGCATGACTGTCTTTCTGAGTGGCAATGTGGTGTTCTACACTGGAGTCCCGAAAATTGAAATTAAGAAGGAGACCATTAAAGTGACTGTGGAACCTAATCAAGGTAAGACATTTTGTTCTGGATTTTCTGATTCTGAGCGTATTGTGGCCTAATAATGTTGGGAGGTGGCGTGGTATGGTGAGCAATATGTGCACGCTTCATTTAAATATTTATTTGGAGCGGGAGTCCCATTTTCCAATGTTCAGACGTGCAGGACATCACTTCTAAAGGGCATCCATTAAGAATTATTCTCCTGTACAGTTGGGGAATTGAAATCAGTTGGAATTGATTTGCGTGTGGTGGGTGGGTGCGTGGAATGGAAATGATTTTGAATTTTGTGATTGTGATTTATTGCTCATTTTCTTTGCTGTGATTTTGGATTCTCACAAACTGTTGTGTGGGTCATTCAGACAATTTTGCTCCAGTGCTGTTCTTGGCATCAATGGGTTTGCCAATGGGAAGTCACCTTCTGGAATAAAGAGGAACTATTGATTGGTGATATCAGATTAGCCTGCATAAGTGAAGCTTTTTTTTTACTTTAATCTCTACATTGATTATCCCAGAATTTGAAGATGGTCCTAAGGCAGGGAATTACATCCTGTTCCCAAAGGAGGCTTGGATAACAGGCTTGACGAAGCCAAACAGACATTATTTTCAATGTTTAATTGTTGCTCTGAAGCATTCTGATCACGATAACTAGCACCTTCAGTAGCAGGATTTAAAATGCCCTGTCACTCCTTCTCATGCATTTCACCCCATGATAACCCATTGTGAAACACAACTAACCTCTTGTCGTTTCTGAGTTGGGGTGGAAATAGGAAGACAGCAAATGTTCAAACTGCAATCTTCACATAAGGCAGGGCGACAGATTTGTGGGAACACCATCACCTGCAAGAGTCCCTCTAACACATACACAATGCTGATTTCGAATTGGAGCTATATTACTGTTCCTTCACACTGTCACTGCATCAGAAACTTGGAACTTCCTTTTCTACAGCACTGTGGGTGCACCTACACCAGATGGAGTACAGCAACACTTCCTGCAAGGTAACCCCCTGTCAGTTAAAAGTCTGATGCTCTTGTTCAGCTGTGTAGGCAGTGACATCATCTCTTGAAAAGCTACAGGCTGAGTATAAGGACATAGCAATGCTTTCAGAAATTCTACAAAGCTGGTGGAATTTCTGTTGATCTTTGCCCTGTCTTTGCCAACCTTGTTCTGCTAACTTAGCTCTGTCTTTCGCTTCCCCTGAAGACTTATCTGTCCATCAGTCCAGAACTTGGTGCATATCCTCTTCCTGTTGATAGAGTAGCTTCCATTATGGTAGTGCTCTCCAGTTGCATCTCTCTGCCACTGATAGTAGGCTACCTGTGCTTTTGGAGAGAGTGTGAAGGTGAACATCGCATGCCTCCAAGAGGCATTATTATGTGACCCCCGATGAGTGCATGCATCTCATCAAGGTGAGAGTTGGGAGGTGCATTGCCACTTTAAATAAAGACTTTGAAGAGAAGAGGTAGCCTGTGCGTAGTGTGCAGTAAGTTCAGAGTGTGACAGGTGAGTATATGTGGTAGTTCCAACATTTGGTGAGATTGCTCTTGCAGGAGTTGAGAAAGGCTACAAGAGGTCACGGGCTGAGTGGAAACTTAATATTTTTGTTTTAACTTACATGGAATGTTGGCATTGCTGACCTCGCCCAATACTTGTGGCCTATTCCTAATTTCCCTTGAGAAGTGGGTGGTGAATTGCCTTCTGGAAACACTACAACCTATATGCTTTAGATACACTCACTGTTAAGAAATGGGTTCAGGTTTTTTTTCCCAGTGACAGTGAAAAATGGTGATATGGTTCCAAATCAGCAAGCTGTCTGCCTTGGAAGGGGTCTTGCATGTGTAGGTCGGCCATGCATCTGCTAATCTTGTCCTTCTGGAGGTTGTAATCTTGGAAGCTGCTGCATTGCATCTTGTATATCATACAGTCTGCTGCCATTATGCATTGATAGTGGAGAGAGTGAATTATTAAGGTAGTGAATGGAGTGCTGATCGATGAGTCGCTTTATTCAGCCTGCTGTCAAGCCCCTTGAATGTTGTCAGAGCTGTATTCGACCAGACAAGTGCCAAACATTGCTAATGTATGCCTTGTGAACAGGCACTAGAGAATAAGGAAGTGAGTTACCTGCTGCGGAATTCATAGGTCATAGAATCCCGATAGTGAGGAAACAGGCCCTTTGGCTCAACAAGTCCACACTGACCCTCAGAGCATTCCACCCAGACCCATCACCCTATAACCCACCTAACCTACACATCCGCAAACACTGTGGGCAATTTAGCATGGCCAATCCACCTAACCTGCACTTTGAACTGTGGGAGGAAACCGGAGCACCCAGAGGAAACTCATGCAGACATTGGGAGAATGTGCAAACTCCACACAGACAGTCACCCAAGGGTGGAATCGAACCTAGTTTCCTGGTGCTATGAGGCAGCAGTGCTAACCACTGAGCCACTGTGTCACCTATGATCTTTGACCTGCTGTTGTAGTCACTGTTTGTATGTGGCTTGTCCAGGTCATCTTCTGGTCAATGGTAACCCCAAGGATGTCGACAGTGGGAAATTCAGTGATGGTATTCAATTGAATGTTAAGAAGAGATAGAGAGAGTTTAACTTTCATTCTCAGAACTGTGCACTTATTTCATAATCGTCATAAACTTCACACAGAGAATTAAAATCCAGAAGAAACCCACTAGTGAGTGACCATACACTGCTTATAATAACGTCGTAACTTCCATACAATTCACTTTACTTCATGATACAGCCAGTACTGTCTGCAAATATTAATTGCGTGCCTTTTAGCGTTAAGCTAGTTTTCAATGCATACTGCAAATCTTTCACAGTTTTTCTTCCTGTTGGAGCTGTCTTCTCTGTGAGTCAATCATCTTTAAATTCACTACATTGGAAGAGTATGTCTTGTTCCTAGATTACTGTCACCAGTTGTTATGTGGTTGGTACATGCTGTTCTTACACTCAGTTCTTCACATCTGGGATATTTGAGGAAGTTGTACTGGATGTGCATTTTTGTAGCTAATGGAACGATCAATTTGACCTGAATTGGTGGAAACCAACTACTTGTACAAAGCAGGACACATTTTGATAAAACAATGCTGCATTAAAGTAAAAAGACAGGTTCTAACTTCAAAACAACGGATAACAACCTTCTGTTCAAAGATGGTTTTCTAACCTAGTCCTGTCACTGCCCTCAGTTCATCGGGCTCAAGTGAGGATCAAGTCAAAGGACTATGTCGATCACCTTGTTGAACAGTCCATCCTGCACTTTTTCAGCAGTGGCCACGTCGATGAAACAGGGCAGACCCTGGTTGTCCAGAAGGCTGTACCCCTGCTGATTCCAAGGATGAACATGAGAGTAAGTTATGTGTAAAACGGGCTCAAATGCTTATTTCTATCAAAAGAGGGAGATGCACTGTTATTGAAAAGCAGAAAAATGGTGAAGGGTTTTAATTTTGCACCTATTAACAAGAGGGGTGTTATTCTTGGAATGAAATTCAATTCCATTTGAAACACCTTAGTGATAGTGGCAGGCATTCAGGATAATAGTTGAAAATGGCTCATCAAAAATATCTTGCAATTGTTTGTACGTTCAATTTCGCCAAGTTGAATTGCTTCTGTTTCAGATACTTATATATTTGCGAAAAATGGTGAGCCCAAGATGTCTAATAATTAGTTCTCTAAGAGTATCTGTATTTCATAGCTATCTTTGTTATCATCCACAGCAATAAATGTAAATGGATAATAAAATAATCATTTAACAGAATCCTGTGATTCTGCAAGTTTGGGAAGGTTGAAATGTGTACAATGCAAACTTTTTTTATCCACATCACAGTACAGAGTGCATGCTTCTGATGTGCTCATAATTAATGGAACATTGTTTTTAATACTACATATTGTCCATGATCAAACCAAATGAGTTAAGATGAGGCCATATGAGATAGCTTGTAGTTCAATATCATGATAAGTTTTTAAATTAAATTCAACACAGTGCATAAGGAAAAATGAAAATGCAATTACATTTTGGGTAGTAAATATGGGATAAAAGAAACAATACCTCTTCATGTGGTATAAATTATTGTTACCTTTGAGTTTTGGTACTCTTGTGATTCTGTCCTGATCAGTGCATGCCACTCTTTTTCAGCCATATTCAACTCCTGCACCACCATATTCATGCTAAACAAATAATCCCTGATTAGATATATGTTTCAACGACAGTGCCGTAATTTCTCCTTGAACATTTCATATTTCCTATGTTTGATATCAGCTGGCTCCCCATTTGCTCTGTATTCTTCTAATCAACAAACAAGTCAATCATAATCATTGCACCTACTGTCTCAGACAACAGATGCTGATAGTCATTGAGTGTATTTAAAACAGGGTTAGTTAAGTTCTTGATTGGTAAGGGGATCAAGGGTTAGAGGGAGGAAGCAGGAGATTAGGGTTGAGAAACTAATCAGCAGTGATCAAATGGGAGAGCAGACTCAGTGGGTTGAATGGCCTAATTCTGCTCCTATATCTTATGGTCTGTTTCAGTCAAGTCATCTCTGACTCTTTTCAATTTTATAAGGTACGGACCTAGTCTGTCCAACCTTTCCTCATTGAACAACTCACCTATTGCAGGTATTAGTCTGGTGAATCTTCTCTGATCTGCCTCCAATTCATTTAAATCCTTAAATAAGCAGACTGATACTATGCAGAATAGTCCAGATGTGGTCTCAGCAGTTCTGAGGGAAGGTCACTGACCCCAAAATGGAAAAGCTGTTGCTCTATCCATAAATCCTGGCTGCTTTGCTGAGCATTTCGAGCATTTTGCCCTAGAAAATGGCATTAAAATGCTATCCATTGTGACTGTTAGAAAATTTCAGTATCATAGAAGCACAGAATCCCTACAGTGTGGATACAGGTCATTCGGCCCATTGAGTCCACACCGACCCTCTGAAGACCATCCCTCCCAGACCCACCCCATCCCTGTAACCCCACATTTCCCATGGCTAATCCACCTAGTCTGCACATCGCTGCACACTATGGGGCAATTTAGCATGGCCAATTGACCTAGCCTGCACATCTTCGTACTGTGAGAGGAAATCGGAGCACCCGGAGGAAACCCACACAGATATGGGGAGAATTTATTCTCTGGACAATTTCACAGCTTCTGTAGGAATCCTCAGGGATTGATAAGGATTGAGACCAATCTGATTGATTGATTGATTCCAATCAGCACTTTCCTAACTTTTCAGTGCTATAATCACAATGGCAACAGGTTGCTGTCTTAACTGAGTGATAATGGAATGCGTGAAGATACGGATAGTCAGTATAAATAATTTAAATGATAAGCTAACACAAGTGAGGTGGCTTGCAAATGTGGTATTCCAGTTTCAAGCTGAAAGTAATTGAAATATAAAATGTTCAAGGAGAAATTACGGCACTGTTGTTGAAACATAAATCTAACCAGGGATTATTTGTTAAGCATGAATATTTGCTCAGTGGTTCAGGAGTTGAATATGGCTGAAAAAGAGCAGCATGCACTCATCAGGACAGAGTCACAAGAATACCAAAACTCAAAGGGAACCATAATTTATACCACATGAAGAGGTATTGCTTGATCATCATGTGGACTCAGGTTGATAAATGATTAATTGGCAGTAGCTCCTAACAGATTTCTTTTCTTCCCCCAACTCTCTTTAGGCTGAAGGCCCAGCGATGTTTGGGCATGAGGTAACAATAGTCATTGAATTTACAAACCCTCTCAGAAAGCCTTTGGAACATCTGGTTCTTCGCATTGATGGACTTGACTCACGGAAACCTAAGTTAAAGCTGTTCAGGTAAGGAAGATCAAAATCGGCATCAGTGATAGAAATGTAATCGAACCTTGACATTAAATGATGCAAAGGGACTCAATAGCCTTCAAGACTTAATATCGAGTTCAAAAATTTTAGGGCCTGAACACTTCCTCCAATGTCTTTCCCCTAACCCCCAGACACCAGGCCTTGTCGTCATGTGGGCTACTACCAAAATGATCCCATTGTCACCCACTTGTGGTCCCCGTTAGCAGCTATTCATTCTCCCAGGCTGACCGTAACCTGGTTTTTTTTGACTGTCTAACTTTTGTTCCTCTCTCTGGGCTCCATCTCCACCTATCATTTACTCCTTTACCACCACCACCGCCCCCCACCCCACCCACCCACCTACTTACCTCACCTTCAGCATTTAGACTAATCCTTTTGTGGCTACAATCAGTTCTGGAGAAGGGTTATTGGGCCCAAAAGATTAACTCTGTTTCTCTCGTCTAATGCTGCCAGACCTGCTGAGTTTTGCCAGTAATTTCTCGTTTCGGATTCCCGTCATCCGCTGTTCTTTGTTTCTTTTTTAACCTCCCGTTTTAACGTCCCTTTATTAACATATCTCAAAAACTCAACATCTCTTCCGGCTGTGGAAAATTGACAGAAAAAGAAGAGCCAACTTTAATATCCCTTCATTCAGTAAGACGAGCTGAGGGAGCAGGAGTAGGTTTGGATGGTGAGGGCTGGTAGTGGAGTTGGAGGTGAGGGTGGAGGAAGGTCTATACTTTTGGTATTCTCGAGGCTTTGTAGATGTTGCATATGTCCCTCTAAGTTGAAACGGCAAGCGAGAAACAAAGAACACGCCCATCTCATGCCCTAGAGCAAGAGAAATGGAGTTGATTTCTGTGGTTCCTCACATGGTGAGCAGCTATCAGTCTGTATCCTGGAATTACCACCCTGAGCTTTGCTTTCTCTCCACAGACAGAGAGAATGAATGGCTCTGAATTAAAGAACTTGAACAATTGGAAATTCTCAACTGGTCAGGCAGTGTCAGTGGGGAGAGAAACAGACTTTTCAGAACCAGGGAAGGTTTTAAGTAGCTCTGTCACATGTCTCACTTTTTCTTTCTAGTTCTGGCAAAGGTTTATTCTGAAACACCAGGCTGAACCTTTCAAACTCTGGGCTGAACATTTCACACTCCGGGCTGAGCCGTTCTCACTTGAGGAAGAGTCTTGAAGAGTCATGACTTTCCCTGAGCTCCCTCCAGGGGTTTCCCTGCACCACTGGATGGGTTACTGTCTCCACTGTGAAGCTAGGTCTGAGAATAACACAAGAATATGCCTGTGTATTGGAAAGCCAGTCAGCAGTTTTATTTGCGGATTTCCTACCCTCGCCCATCCCCCTCCCCAATTCTCCTGGGCGCACCGCAACCCCACCCCGGCACCTCCAAAGCTACTTCCAAGGAACCAGGCAAAACCTGTCCATTTACTCTATTTCTCTGAGTGTTTGAGGCATTTTCTGTTTTTATTTCTGGTTTCCATCGTCCATCGCATTATAGGTTCAACTGAATGATATCAGTCAGCATTCACCTAACTTTTCAGTGATGGATTTACACTGGGAACAGGTTACTCTCTTGGCTAAGGCATAATAGCTTACTTAAGGGCAAGGATAGTCATGTGTGAATAATTTAAATGACAAGCTAACACAAAAGGAGTGGCATGAAATAGAAAATCCTGAAAGCCAAACTATGACACTGTGTTGTTCAACCCTAAATCTAGCCTGGGGATTATTCTTAAACCTGAATACTTAGTTGTAGCGTAGAACTTGAATATGACTGAAAGAAAAGAAGTGTGCTTTTTCGAAATTTCCCAGCTTACATTCATTAGGACAAAATCGCAAGAATACCAAATCTCAAAGGGAACAATCATTTTTACTGCATTTAAACATGTCGCGATCAGTGGGAACTTGAACTCTGGTTGGTAAATAGTTAATGCACCGTCGAACGGCTAATGGCCAAATTTAAGTTTAAATTCAGTCCAAGCAAGTCAACTCCTGATTAAGGCATTGCCATTGGGATTACACTGGGCAATGGCTGTCCCAAAAAGCGGGAAAAGGCTCAATGTGCACACATATTCCTTCGGTTTACAGCAGACAGATGGCCATGCATCAACATGTGCAGTTTATAACAAGCATAAGTAAAACACTCAAGCTTAAACTGCTTGTTTGCATCATTCTTGGCACCATTGCATTGTTAAGCAAGTGCTGTCCAATTGCAGAATGTTGCAGACGATCTTCTGAGTTTTGCATGCATGGGCTGGTTGAGGGTGGTTAGTACTCTATCTGTTATGAATGGTCAAAGAAGGTTTGGCATTCTTGAGATTCTGTCCTGATGAGGCAAGCTTCAACATCAAATTTGAACAAGTTTGTAACACAAATAACATTTTCCATTTGCAGTATCCTCCCAGAAAATGCCACCTTAACAACAAGGGAATTGTTTGTGCCTCGGAAGCGGGGTCAACGCAAAGTGATAGCGAGCCTGGACTGCAGTGCATTGAGGCAGGTTGTCGGAGAGTTAGAATTAAATGTTACATAGGAAATGTAAATGGAGCAAGCAGAGAACCTTCTTCTAATCTGCCTTAAAAAGGAGTTTTCTGAAGACGTAATCTGGAGCATGTATTAAATGAAAAGTTTAAAAGGCAATTCTGATGTTTTCATCCTCCTATTTTTGAGCTTGTTTTCATGCTACTTAGTATCAATTTTTTTCACTTCAACCAATATCAAATTGATGACAACACTTAAGAAATTTATCCTTGTTACATTTTACCTATCCGTGCTTTCTGTAGTGCTTATGTTATTGTATGTTGGATACTAATAAACTAGAACAGGGATTATATCAGTAGGGTGTTATTTCTTTTCACCTGTGGCTATACGTAAGCTTAGATCAAAAGGAATGTGCAGACATAGTCCTGTGTCTTGTTACTTTACTGGGTACCTGAAAGAAAGGGATGTTTGTTTTCACTTCCTTTCTCAACTACATTCCTGTGTCCCTTCTGGATCTGTTCTGGAATACGGGATCCACAAGTACCAGACAAATATTTTTCGCCCAAGTTGTCATCTTTCATACGTCAGCCCATGTGGTGTTTGCCAGAAAGCTGTTCACCCTGAAGGGACATCACATTTGGATACAATCCTCTCCATGTCCTGTTCCCACCTACATTCACTTCCCTGCAGTTGAGGGTGGTTGACTGGTTCATAACCGATATGTGGGGGTGTGGGTGGTGTTAGGGGCTGGGAGGCAGAGAAGGTGCAGTGTATAGCTGAGAGCTACAGAATCTTACATCCTTTAGCTGTCACCAGGCAGCGATCTACTCCCTTTTACTTTCAAAAGTATTCAGATCATACCTAAGTACAAGTGCTAGTTGCCATTACAAATTTTGCTTTTCTTTGAATGCAATGCAAGACACAATATTGAATATTTTGATATTGAATATTTTGATATTACTTTACATAACTTTTGTAACCAGTAAGAAATAGATAAAATTGTATGAGCTTGCAGTTTTACGTTTATGTCACGTAACGGCGACTATATAGGACCAGCATTAAAAGTTATCAAAGATGAGAGAAGTTGGACACTGGAGGCCTCTGAAACTTGGGACAGTTTTGTATGAAATGTGTCTGTGCTGGCTCTTTACCAGGAAACTGCCTCATTCTGTCCCTGCACAAAGCATCCCGCATATGGTCAAGGGATTCATCTCTTCCTCCCTCGAAATTTGCCCATCCCATACCCTGGCTGCTGAGTACTATAGAGATTGTGGTTCACAGGCCTGGGCTTATAACTGTCCTAGAACAAAGGCCACATTGCAAAAGACAGTACCACTTAGGGCACATGCCCTGACTTGTTGGACCTGTCACCCTTGCAGTTGAGGACCATTGGTTACAATATTCAGGCTGACACAGTTTCATGCAACCAGAGATAGTGTACTGCTATCCCCTAGCTCTTTAAATCCAACCCTACCACTGTTTGACAATTCTCTAATCCAAAAGTCTGGATTGTTTGGCTGTAGGCCACATATCGCTCAGAAAAGAAGATGTTTGTGATTCACCTGGGAGAAATCTGTGTGTTCTGAGCCTCCTACCTGAGTGTCAGGAGCAATGCGGTTGCCCTTATAAACGTCACAAAAAAAATGCTAATATGCGTCTCAGCGCCAGGGACCCGGGTTTGATTCCACCCTCGGATGACTAGATGTTGTTTAATAGGGTGTTTGCTATGTTTAATGGACTAAAGTGCTTGATAGATGCATTTATGAAACAAAATTTGACACTGAGTCACATAGTCATGAGGGCAAGAAATAGAGTTAGGCTTTAAAACCATCAGAAAGAGGAGTAGGAGTGGGCCATTCAACAAGACAATGGCCCAGCTCCACATAGCCCTTAACTCCCCAATAATTCAAACACCTATCAACCTCCTGTTTAAATACTATCAGTGATCTAACCTCTACACCTCTCTTCGGTAGAGAAATTCTGACATTCACTGCCCTCTGAGAGAAGAAATTCCCCTATATCTCAGTTGTAACAAGTATCCCCTTGTTCTGTAACTATGACCCCTAGTTTGAGAGTCCTCCACTAGGGGAAACATCTCTCAACATCTATGTAACATGGTATGTTACAATAAGATCACTCCTCATTCTTCTAAACTCTAATGAATGATGTAGCCACTCTCGATAAGTTAACCCCTTCATCCCAAGAATTAGCTGAATTTCTTTTGCACAGTTTCCGAAGACAGTATATCCTTTTCTTTTTAAATACAGGGGCTAAAACTGTACACAGCACTGCGTGTGCAGCACCACCGCTATTCAGTACTTTGAGGAATTTCTCAAAGGAGAAGAGAGGGGGAGATAAAGTTTTGGGGGAAAGAATTCCAGGACCTAAGCATCACTGGCAGAGCTATTAAATCCTAGCTGGAATTGTGTAACTCTACTACACCAGTATAGATATTTGGAGGCTCCATTTTTGATCCACTTAATGGAATCTAGATTGGAAATCAGTATGTCAGTCGACAGTGTGGCCCGCATATACAAAAATTTACCACAAGATTTTTTTTTAAAGAGGTCACAAATAATACATTGCAGAGAAAGCAGGTCTTAAGGATTATAGTTGCTTACATATTGCCAGCAGCATTGCCTCTTAGGAATACTCATTGAGGGATCACAGACTGCCCTGGTTTCCTGATGGGCATTTCCAGTGGGTTAGCTTTTCCTCAATGTATATATCATTATAACACCATAATGTGCCATGAATTCTATTATGAGAAGCTTTATTTGTAGGTTTATTTTGTATCACTCATTTTTTATAATGTGCACAATCATTATTCCAAGTTGATTGCCAATAAAATGAACTTATCTGTAATTTAGTCTTCATGTCTTCTTTGTGTGATTAAGTGATGAAAGTTGAACTGGTATGGTTCCGTTTACTGCAGTCGGTTATTAGGTTACTACAGTTTCTCACAAAATGATATGGAACTATGTAGTGCCATGTACAGGCAGATCCAGATTCCATGGTCTCTCCTTATAAGGAAGAGAGGGCAGAATTCAGAGTGACCCTCAGAGCTCTGGAGAGGAATCTAGTGCAGATTACAAGTCTCCTCAACTGAATTAACTGAGGAGGGGTAACAACGAGGGCGAATGTTCTTCAAAACAAAAGAAAAACAATAGTATTACAGAATATAGCACAAGTTAATCTGAAGCAGTAAGATAATGAGACTTTCTCTCACCTGCCCTTTTAGTTTTATACTGCTTTTGTCTGTTCTGTCTAAATGTAAGGAGCTGCTGATAATGTGGAGAGAAACCTCCGAGTAGCTTAAATAAATGCAGCTAATAACTAGATTCAGACGACTAAAATAATGCAAGAGACTGCATTAACCCAGGGAGTATTTTTCGCTGTCCAAGGATGTAGGCATTGTTGGCAAGACCCGCTTTTTTTACCTATCCATAATTTCACTTGAGCAGATGGTGGTGAGCTGCTTTCTCGAATTATTGGTATCTGTGTGGTGTAGATCAATCCATTAAACTCCTGAAGTAATCCAGTTTCAGATTTCAATGATTATATCATGAGTGCCTCTTTCTGTTTCCACTATCTTTCACATGGAGACTTTTGAAAGAACAAATTATTGGAGTTGAGTTGATAAACAGAGAGCATAGCGATGTAATAATTTGCAAAAGAACCACAAGCAACATTTTTATGCAACAGGCACAGAAAATGCCAAAGAAACTCAGCAGGTCTGGCAGCATCAGTGGAGAGAAAAACAGTTTAACGTTTCAAATCCAGGTGACTGCTTCAGAACTGAAAGATGTTGGAAAATAGGTTTCTGTTTATATTTTCCTCAGAGGCGGAGAAGGAGCAAGAGGGCAGATAGTGTAGAGACCTGTGCAAAAGTCAGAGGGGTTGTTAATAGTGGATAGTTGTAGATAATGATGGTTGTTATTAGGTTTTATGCGACTTATTGTTATGGTATGGAATATACCGCCTGGAAGGCCAGTGAGAACAAATCCAGCAGTAATTTCACATACATAGAAAGCTGAGATTTGCAGTTATATGGAGTAAGAGCAGAGGACTGTGGCTGTCATCCTGCTCAGAGCCCAATGGTACCACTCAAATGGCCAATTAAGGGCCTCTTACCACCACCGCTGACATCTGACCAGTGGTGGGTAGGCCCTCTGCCCTTTGGAGGAGCCTGCCTGGTTTCACTTGGCTACCTCTCTGTGGACTCAATGGGTGGGAGAGAGGGGGAAACCCGCTAAAAGGAAACATTGTGGACTGTGGAGACAATGGCCAACGCCATGGCAATGTGGCAATGCCAACAACTCACCGCCAACCCCCCCACCCACCCCTTGCTGCAGCCTGTATAACTTAGGTCCATTGCCTCATTATGGAGGGGGCATTTGTGGCTATCTCCTCTCAGTTGGGCACGGTCCCAGCAGCAACCGCTGCCCCGATGTTCCTGGTGGTACTGAAGTGCTGCCAATCTGCCAACTGGCCGAAAGCTCTCGGAAGGGAGTGGGGTCTTGTCCCTTGAAGGGATAGGAGCCTGAGCACCAGCTTGTTAGCTGCTTGAGGGGTAGTAAATCCAGCCAGACCTTTCCCAAATGCTTGAGGTGGTAGTATCTCCTGCTTCCAGCCATCACAAAGTAACCTCCATCACAAATTACAGCGGCTGCTTCTGAGAATCCAGGAGCAAATTCTTGGCATTCGTCACCATTATTTTAACAGAAACCTAACCTCAGTAAAATAACGAGCTAGCAGAAGAATGTGATCTGAATAAGTTGCACCTTGGTAGGATAATACAAACAGTCATTACCAGACTATGATATTTCAATGCTGCTTTAATCTACTCTTCAAATGGGAAGGAAAGAAAAGCAAGTATTGGCTTTCTATTGTGAGTGAGCAATTTAGAAATGCAGCAGTGTTTCATTTTCATTCAATATTTAACATAATCTTGAGTAACCTAGCTTTTCATTCTTTTCACATCAACACTCCAGATGTGTTGCTTTAAATCTGTCACTAGTTTATGTGCAGTAAAACTTTTTAATTTGCAATGAAGTTGGCTGTCAGAACTTAGTTCTCTGGAATGTTGAATATATGCCTGCTCACTGCACAGCTCTAAAGGGTTTATATTCTGTGTCATTAAAGTACTTTAAACTCTCATTGGAATAGGGTCAAATAGAGTTTCAAATGGGATTTCCTTTCAGCATAGAAAGTGGAATGAAGAATATATGAAGGCACAAGCTGCATGCTGCAAGGTTCTGGTTCCTTGCCCTTGTTGAATATTGGCTTAGGGAAATGTTTATAAAACCCAACCATTAGCTTCTTGTGTTCAAAGTTTGTAAAGTAGATTGTGACCCCTCTATTGTCGAGGCAAATTTGGAAGCATAGGTACTGCAAGGTTCTGTGAAGGACATGACATGGAGGTGCCAGTGTAGGACTGGGGCGGACAAGGTCAGAAATCATGTGACACCGGGTTATAGACCAGCAGGTTTGGACTATAACCTGGTGTCGTGTGATTTCTGACCCCGTAAAGGACAAGCAGTCAACGGTGTAAATTAGATTTTTGAACTCCTTGGGAACTCACCTTCAATAATATATAAAGTGTATCAGGTGAGGAATACACATTTGTAAGTCATTTAATGTCAAACACTTTGCAACTAACTTTTAATTAAATAACTTCATAAATTTAAACTGTTTGTATATTGGCAACTAATGGTGCATTACTTAATGAGCAGTGAAATGAGATGTATTTCCTCAGTTTTGCAGCTGGCTGGATCCTACTGCCCACTGGTGATTTGCGTTCCATCTTGGACAAAATTATATCCTAGTGAGCAATTGCGTGGGAGTTACATCATCACTCACTTGCAAAAATCATATATTTTCTAGCAATTTGTCTTACTAACTGGACGTCTGTTTAAAACAACATTCTAAACTTTATGCCAGCGATGGAAGACTGCTTTGCGGCATCAGGCTGTGAAATAGGAATTCACATTGATATCTAGGTCAGCCTGGAGCACAGGGAGCCAGGGTATTTTTAGATAAGAGTTTCTGACCAAGTGAAAGTCTTGCCCACATGCTCACCAAGGTCACATTTAGTTTTGTTTTCGTGCTGTATTCCGAGCAGGTAACTGCCAACTTTGAAGATGAGACAGTCATTGAGCTTCACCTTTCTAACCTTACTCTTGTGATTCAGAATAACATTAGCACAATTGAATGTTTATTGTTTTAATTTCATACGAAGCGCAGTACTTTCTACCAAAGTGTGCATGTCTTACAGGACCGGACAGGGTAAACATAGACAGGATGTTCCCAATGACTGAGGAGTCCAGAATGAGGGGTCACAGTCTAAGGATACAGGGTAGGCCATTTAGGGCTGAGATGAGGTGAAATGTCTTCACCCAGAGAGCAGTGAGCCTGTGGAAATCTTTGTCACAGACAGTAGTCAAGGCCAAAACACTGGATGATTTCAAGAAGGAGTTGGATATAACACTTCGGGCTAGACAGATCAAAGGATACAGTGCAAAAACAAGAAGAGGGGACTGAGTTGGATGATCAGCCATGAGTGTGTTGAATGGTGGAGCAGGCTTGAAGGGCCGAATGGCCTACTCCTACTCTGATTTTTTGTGTTTCTGTGTTTTTAATATTGCAGTCAAGAAGATGTATGGAAGTCCTCATGATAATGTGGAATTCTTAAGTTGTCTGGGTGTGTGTGAAACAAAAATAAATTGACAAAATGTCTCTTTTCAGCGACACATGGAAGTGGCAAAGACCATGGATTTGTGCTCCTGATGCACAGTTCCCTGGCCCCAGAAATGCTCCTGAGACAATAGGCACCAAAGTAGGTCCTGTTGGAATAAATGTCAGGCATGTTGATTATGATATCTGAATTTCAGGAAAGTAATTCCAGTGGAAATGCCCAGACTGCGAGTGGGAATTCCCACATCCATCCTACTTTTTTGATCACCTTTGAGCTGCCAACCCATGCAGTTCCTGCCCTTTCAACTCCATTCAGGGCCTTACTGCTCACCTTTCACCACTAAAAACAAGTATTCTAGAAACATGCAGCAGGTCAGACAGCATCCGTGGTGGGAAATGGAGTTAATTTATCCATGGCCTTTCCTCAGAACTAGGGAAAAAACCTTCTCTGGGACAACTAACAGGGGTACAGGCGGGTAAGTTGGCAACTGGGTGTGATGGTAGAATGACAGGAACGTAGGGCAATATGTTATCTGTGTGCCAGGTGGGTGGTCAGGTTGGGTACAGAGAGTTGTCAGGTCAGGGGCTAGTCAGGTCAAGTGAGTAGTGGTCGGGAGGGTCAGTAGTGGAATCTACCTATGCTGCATTTGGGGAGGGAGTCAGGGTCAGAGGTGGGGTCTGGTGTTAGGTCATGTTGAGGAGTCAGAGGGAGTCAAGGAGAAGTCACAACTGTTATCGAGGGGTTAGATGTAACCTGTGAAATCCTATTGTGGATCTCTTTTTTTAAAATTCGCTCAAGGGATATAGGCGTCACTGGCTAGGATCAGCATATATTGCCCACCTCTAATTTCCCAGAGGGTAGTTATAGATTCATAGAGTCGTACAGCACAGAAACAGGCCCTTCAATCCAACTCATCCATGCTGAACATGTTCCCAAACTATACTAGTACCACTTGACTATATTTGGCCCATATCCCTCTAAACCTTTCTATTCATGTACCTGTCCAAATGTTTTTTAAACGTTGTAAGTGTACCCGCATCTACCACTTCCTCTGGCAGTTCATTCCATACACGCACCGCCCTCTGTGTGAAAACGCTGCCCCTCAGGACCCTTTTAAATCTTTCTCCTCTCACCTTAAAAATATGCCCCCTAGTTTTGAACTCCCCCA